TTGTTCTTAGAATATTTATTAGTGATGCATGCAATGATTACAGAATAACCCCTAAAATGCAAAGAATGGCAATCACTGCTTTTTGAAGTCCAAAACAATTCCAAATCAGAAATAGTGTCTAACTATTGCGTCCCTTGTTGCACGTCCTGTTTGCTCGTTCTGGCAGAATGCAGGAGGTTGGTTAGGGTCTCCAAGGGGCTCAGGTGCATCATTGTCAGCACAGAGAGGGACATTGCGCTTAGTAGCGATGTTGTGCAGGACAATACAGGCAAGGGTTATGTTGCATGCTTTCTGTGGTTCCGCTCTCAGGTAGTTAAGGCATGCAAAGCGCCTCTTAAGAACTCCATTTAAACGCTCAATTGCACATCTTGCTCTGCAATGAGCAGTGTTGAAGCGTGCCTGCGCCGGTGTATTTGCTGTTAGAAACGGAGTCATCAGCCATGGTAGGAGTGGGTAGGCACTGTCTCCTAATATTATGCCATCCGGTCGGTTGGTTTGGAGGTCTCTATATAGAGCGCTCCCCCTCAAGATGCGTGCATCATGGACAGACCCAGGCCACTTGACAACGCAGTTGGTGATGATGAGGTCAGCATCACACAAAAGTTGGACATTGATGCTGTGCCTCCCCTTTCTGTTTATAAACTCCCATTCATTCTCACGAGGTGCTTGTATATGCACATGTGTGCAGTCGATTGCTCCAATAGTATTGGGCATATTCCCCAAAAGAAAAAAGCTGCGCTTGGCCTGGGCAATCTGGTTGTCCTTTGGAAAAGAAACAAATTCATTGGCCAGGCTGGCCAGTGTGATTGACACATCTCTCACCACATCACACACAGCTGATTTCACCACTCCCATATAGTCACCAACAACCTGATAGAAAGTCCCACATGCATAAAATCGGAGAGCAATGAGGATCTGCTCTTCCACAGACAGACCGTGACTCCTTTGGGTTCTGTGTTGAAGTTTCGGCCTGAGAAGGTTCACAAGGTACTCTATATCAGCCTTCCCAAAGCGAAACCGGACATACAGCTCCTCAGTGGTGTATTGCTCCAGTGGCTTGGTACGTTCAACATACACCCTTTGACGGTATCCTCTCCTGGCAAAGTGGTGGTGGCGGTGGACAACACCTGCCATTTCACTGTCTCTCTGTGACTCCTCTGAGAAAGGCTGATCTATATGGCGGTGTAGTTGGTCTTTTCGGACACACCTATTACAACTGAGTAGGTGTGGCTTGTGTTCAATTGAGGCAATTGGACCCAACGCCTATAATTGATGAACAATGTTCACTATAGTAAAGCAACGGAACCATGGACTCAAGAAGCTGTAACTTCACTGCTGCTGAAACCAATGCACTACTAGAGGGTGTTCGGTGCCATTATGGAACAATAGTGGGAAGTTTTATTTCTGCTAAGGATACCAACAAAAAGAAAAATGATGTTTGGATTTTAATCACAGACAATGTGAATGCCATAGGGTCTGGCCAGAGGAGGACCACAGACCAAATCAAATTGCGGTGGAAGAATCTTAAGGCCAGGGCAACAAAGGACCATGCTGAAGCCAAAAACCCACAAACAGGCAACAAGCCATTTAAGAGGGGGGATTACACAGATGTGGTCCTCGACATCATTGGAGGTGAGAAGTCGCAAGCTCTTCATGGTATTCAAGGTGTTGTAGGGGATGGCGAGCCTTGGATTGAGGAGGAGGAGGTGAATCTGCCAGTTCCTCCTGAGGCTGATCCAGAGAGCGTATTTATATTGAATCTCAGCTCTGTTCCTGAGGAAGAAGCTGGATCCTCATTGGTTGAGCCAGTGGTAGTTGCCACAGGATCTCAGAGCAAAGGCTTGAAGCGCCCTTCATCAAACAAAGATGATGATTACAAGGCACTTCTGCAAAAAGAGACTGAAAGGGCAGAAGCACAGCTTCATCTGGCAGAGGAACAACTGACTCTGACCAAACTGCAGCAAACCAAGGCCAGACTTGAGATCCGCCTCCTAAAGGCTACGCTCAGACAAGCTGGTCTCTCCACATCAGATGAGGAAGTCTGAAATTAGTGTGGAGTATTTGACATTAGGTCACTTTTCTTAATTCAATACATCTATATTTGAAACTTGTTATAAATATCCTCGATGTACAGTGTTTGTGTTGTAGGTCTCAGATGAGCGGACTGCTGGAAGAGGATGGGGTGGGGTTTTTCTTGTGTTTAGTTTCTTTTAAATGTGTGTGTTTTCATTTCAAATAATAATAAACGTATATTGACCCCACACTGGCTATTCTACTTGTTGCTCTTTACATATCTATAGTTCTACATTGTGATTTCCTATCCTGTTTGAGCACTGGTTATCCAGATTTGGTGATCCTGAAAAGTTCCTATCCAGATCAGATTGATCCAATCCGATGTTGCTTTGAAAAACTGGCTCAAGAAGTAAGCTGGATTACGTGATCACGGATTGCAAAAAAAGGATTACTGAATCCGGATCAATTTTATCTGGATTAAACCTTTTGAAAAACCGGGCCCTGGTGTTTTGCTTTTGAATCATCTGTGGAGTTTGGATTCTTGCAGGTTTTATGGTGCTGTTTAGAAGACATGGACACTGAAGCCTGAAATCAGATATCAGGGGAAGTTAAGTTAAGAAAGAGAGGGTAGAAGTTACTGTGTGGATCAAGGTGTAATACCTATATGTAAGCACATGGGGGAGCTGTGGTGCTGTGTTGATTCACTGCACATACCAGAGAGAGAGAAGGAGTAGGGGAGAGCTTGGGCACATATTGAAAATTCATGACATGCACTTCACAACTTGTGCAAGACACAAAGCAGGTATAACGAGCTCAAAGCTGAGGACTAGGTCCTTCCTCAATTTGTTGTTCTTTTCAGTTTTGTGTCTGTGTGTGAGACTAATCTGTCATCATTTCAATCTGAATTACTGGCACGGATGCTGCTTTAACATTACTGCAAATGGCACTAACAAAATAAATCTCTAAACAAACAGAAACTCTAGTCGTAGTAAAGACGGTGTATTGTGTTGGATTTATGTGAGTAGCTCTGTAGTTTTTCCCTTAACGTTTTGTCTCTTTTTATCATCTAATTCTCCATCAACTCATCCTACAGTTGCTTTTTTAAATACTAACACATCTATCCTTTCCTCTTTCTCTCTCCAGTCATTCTCTGTCTTTCAGTGTCTGACCTAGTTTTGGATAGCCTTTATCTTACACACACACACACACACACACACACACACACACACAAAGCCCACGTCCCCGCAGGTGCTTTAAATCCTTGAAAATTGTTTGAATTTTGATGTGGTGTTTCTGAGGTCCGGCGGTGTCTGGAATTTTGATTTTTGAGGTTGAAATGGCTGGAATTGATCAAGGTCATGAAACAGCACTTTCAGACAGTATTGCTTATGGCCAGCATAGTTGTATTCCCATCATGCTTTGTGGTTAACTCTCTTCTGTTTTCTTCTCTTGTCTGTGAGGCTGCTGTTTGTACTTGCTGTTTGTACTTGTGATGCAGAATAGGACTGGCATGTTGCCCCAGTCCAGACCAAAATACTCACGCGCACGTCTGCACAGAGTGACACACACATACAACCTGCAGCATTTCTTCAGCTATTATTTCCGATACATTTGGAGTTCTCGTGTTCTCTCATCATGCAGGCTTGTGCTTGAGAGAGCTATTTGAAGGAGAGGACAGTGATGTCACAAAGGAGCCACAGCTACAGCTACTGCTACTGCACATGCTGAGTGAGAACTTTTAACCATCTGGTCAATCATTATTCGAAGCCAGGCGAAAACAGTAAAACTTGCTGCTGGGCATGTGTTGCAGCAAGGAGAGAATGGTGGGCTGCTAAACTCTTATTAACAAGCTTGTACATTGGGTGATCTGATAGACATGTAAAAAGTGGGTGGCAAGCACAGTTTGGGAGGGGTTCAAAGACCACCTGGGCCCAGACCTGGGCTCAGACCTGTGCAAGTATTTTTAGGAATATTTAACATTAACTGGAATGCTGCTTTGGTGACTCAGAATATGCATATTCCACTGAAGTTGCACAAGTGACACCAAATTACAGCCACAAGTAAACTATACCCAAAGCTGGGAATTCTGCAGTAGAACCATCAGTAAACTACACACTAACATGAACAAGTCTTTCAATCGAAAAGGCAAAGGGTGGGTCCGGAGTTTTCAATCATTGCAGTTCAGGTGGTTGTAAGATTTGAGGGTAGAGAGTGTGTGTGTGGAAAAGAAGATTCTGTGGCTGAAAACATAGGAAGTGACCACACAGGAGGCAGAGCGGGTTTCCCACAACTGTAGGGTCAGGGCTTCGATTCCTCCTCAGTTGTCCTTGGGCAAGACACTGAAGCCCGAGTTGTGAACCCCAAGTTGCTCCGCAGTGATAACACCGGTGTGTGAGCGAATGGGAAATAGTGTAAAGTGCTTTTAAGATTCTTCAATGCGTAGAAAAGTGCTGAGACCATTTAAAGTGGATCGCAGCTGCTGAGCTTCATTGCCACTATTATGTATAGAGATGCAATCTGAAGAAAATATATTCAGTTATATGAATCAATCAATGAGAAAAACATTAAAACAGTCATCACAGCCAGGTGCAGCTCTGCATGGTGCACCATGTGTCCATCCACAACTGAACAAAGACTCATGACTTAGTGCGTTAGTGCATTTATAGTGTCACTGCTTTGACTCAAACAGCCCTATCATTTTCCATTTCCAGGGAGATAGGCTACAAAAATAATGTTTAATGGATTCTGAGATAGAGAACACACAGGACATCAGAGGCAGGTCCTCAGAGAACATGTCTCCTCAGAAGTGAATGTAATGTGTGGCTTCCTGCAGATGAGCATTAATCTGATAACATGTCA